CTTGGACTCTGATTTAATTTTGGATGCTATTTGGAACCCTGACACAAGCATAATCAAGTTATAATTTCCTATTGACAAATCTAAAGCAATACACACCAGAAACTGTACATGACATTTCACATTTAATACCACAAGTCAAAAACTAATGCTTCTACAACTTTACCACATAAGAATTGTAGCATTTTAATTTAATTCCTATACAAATGTGACAATTGAAATTTATTGTGTTTTTACATTTCCATTTTACCATGACTTAATCTCAGTTATCACAAGAAATATGATAACATTAAATATTTTGCAAAGGCAAACATCTAGAAACCTGTGTATAAATATCTAAGTCTGGACATTTATTACATTAGATTCAGTCAGGATTTGAATCAACTAACTGAACATAATGAAGCTTATCTAAGCCTGTTTGACTAACTGTAATGTTATTGGTTTCTGTATCTCCATATATGTTTATCATAATTGAACCATTTCTTTTACCTCAGAATCAAATATTTATTGAACAAGCCATAATGCAATGTTCTAAAAGTAAAAATCTTATGAAATAAATATTAATTGAAATTACTGAAACAAAATAATATCCAAGTAGATAGCATCAATGTACGAAGAAGGGACGTTTTGATCTTAGCCACAACACAGTCTCACTGCAAATTTCTCACTTTCAATATGTTCTACATCCTGTGTAAGATGGATATGCAAATATTTTAATATATTTGTTTCTTAAACAAATTTACATGGCTGCTCATCTACCTGAAGGATTTCTGGGTGGGAAATAAGATTTTTTAAAAAATATATATATTTCAAACAATAAACCTAAAATAAAAGAAAACAACAAAAAACGCATTGTGGTCTGGATAAAACTTGCATGCATTAATCAACAATACCTCCTAGCTTCATGAACAGGTCTTAACTGCTTTCCTGAAGGCCAACAGAATTGAGACCATCCATTTTATTGGGGATGCCTATGGAATAAGGCAGACACCACAACAAAAAAAGACACATTTCTGTGTGTCTTTCAGCAGGTGCACAGTTTGCCAAGAGCATGTTCCCTCTGCCAAACCTAGTAGGATGAGCAAAATGCATCAGTTCCCTGTATGGCTTTAAACCTGATGAATTGAACTCAGAAGTCTATTGGGAATCACCACACAGTAGCCATGTTATATGGGCATAATATTACTGCCTATGCTGCTGCAGTTTAGAACAGCACAGCTTTTGCATCAGCGGTTGATTTCACAGAAGCTAACCACCGGTTCGCCGCACATGCACATGCTCACTTTATGAGCCCATAGAGGGCATAGAGCCGGGGTGGTTAGGTGGGGCAGTCACCTGCAGGTCACCACTATCAGTTCACTTGAATCGGCCCAAACCGACTGAATACCACCTTTGTTCTGCATGCTCTTCAAGCACATCTCCACATGGAGTGCATTGCAATCTCTAATTGGGAACTGGGAGCTCAGTGATTCATGAGGTTAGAATACTGGGCCGATGATTGGTAGCCTCATGTTAAAGACCTGTTCCTGCTGCAGGGCAGGGTGAGCTCCTCTCACATGCTTCAGCTCCCACCAACCCAGCCATTTGAAACCAGGTGACAGCAAGTAGATCAATGAGTACCACTTTTGTGGGCAACTTCACAGGGATGGGAAAGGAGCCCCCAACTGGACATCCTTTAGATAGAGGTTATGTCACCAGCAAATCCTTTCACCATTCTTTCTGACATGGAAGTTTTAGTTTGGGAACTGCCTAAATCATGAGTGATTATGAGCAGCAGATCCCAATCTAAGAATGAGCACAACTTGCAGACAAGATGGCTGTGTGCAAAGGCTCTTCTAACCACAACTGCCACTTGATCTTCAAGAAGAGCTGTCAGTCCAGAAAAACCTCAAGATTGCAGACCAAACCTAACTTAACTTTTTTCTAAACCACTCAAAGATTATATTGTGAGTTTAAAGTACCTTCTAAACCATCTCTTTTGGAAAATAAAACATAGATTTTTATTGAATTATTACAATATTCTTTCAATGCAGCTGGTTTTTAATGTGCAATCTGTCCTCTTGAACTTTGTTTACTGAAGCTGAAGCTGAGTGTCTTGTTTTTATAGAGAACACTTGATGAATTATTAAATCGGGCACGACTGAATAGCAATTTTCTCTACTCCCCCACACCCACTAAGAAACAAACATCAAAAATGGGAAGAACATTACTAATGCTAACTGTTTTGCGAAGACAAGTATTTTCACTATATTGCCTAAGGCAAAATTACATTTGAAAGAGTAATGCATGTATCTGATTCAGCAAATGATTTCTTGAAAAGTGATTCAATGTATTAATTGTCAAATGCATATATGCCTCTTCACTAAATGATATTTCATGGTGAAAATCATACTTTAGTTATAAAGAAGCATTAGCTCAGGTTAAATATCTTTCCACAGCAAGTAGCAAAAAAAAATAAAAATCCTCAGTATCCAAGCAACTAAGAAAATCCAAAGAACATTAAGTTTACCTGTAATCACATTTGAAATATACAGTACAATATTATTCTGTGGAATGAATTAATTGTTTCAAATCCAAGATCATTAGTCTAATGCAGTACTTAACAACATGCTGATTAACTACTGCCATTTAAACTGTAATGATTATGTTTCAATTGTCACACTAAGATAAAAGTTCTAATTCATATTCCTTCTCTAGTTGTTTCCCATTTTTGTGAAAATGCATCAACCTGTAACATTTAACAGATCATGTCATCACTTTTCCAATTGAAGTAAAAAGGGAAACATGTTTATGCTATGGAACTTAGAGTCTTATTCGGGATCAGTTGCATGAATTTTCAATTTGAAAGATAGCTTTGAAAATGGAGGTCAGATCTTCTACAAACAAATTAATATGTAAATTAGCTTTTATTCATTTTTTCTATTTAAAGAATTTGGCTAACCTGGATCATTTAGCCAAATGCTTAATATCAAAAGCAGGGATTTGCCTAGATAAATTTGCATCATTGAAAAGGAGAAACAGTATAGTGAAGCAGTCATCTAAGCTAAATTTCCAGAAAGAATGTTTGGGAATTATATCAGTAGGAGAAAATTTGTAGGGGTAACTAATTTTTCTTCTCAATTCAGAGAAAGAAAGAAAAACGGATGAAGTCAGACTACCTTTAAACTTTTAAATTCTTGGTTATTCATCCTGTATGGATATCTCCACTGTCGTAGATATCTAAGAACAGACACTAAGGCTACAGTAAGAATAAAAACAAATTGTGTTCCATTTTGTATACTATTGTTATGTACATCAAATGATTAGTACATCAAATGATATTTGGAGAAGGAAACAGTTCAAGAAAGATTCTTTTCCATCAAACATTGAACTCTGATTATTAGGAGTAGCTGCAGTTTGGGTGGTTAATTGTTGTTATGTTTTTACTTCCTTGTAATGTGATGAGAGTCTGTGAATTGTGATAGGCTATAAAAATCTATAAAATAAACTAACTTTTCAGTTTTATCTTAGCAAATTACAATTTATGTGAATTTATTTATTATGGAAAAGTTCCATGAGAAATTTTGTTTGCAAATGTTAAAATAAACTATTTACTTCTTGGATTTTTCAGTGTTTAGGATTAAGGGCTTTTAGCATGTGGTAAAGGAAATGTATCTATTATAGACCAATATTCCCTTCTACATGAGAAAAGTAAAACAGGGTGGGGCAATCTGTAATTCCCACAAGGGTCCTTCAGTGCGTTTTCTTTCTTCTTTTAATATAAGAATAAGAGTATGTTTGAGGAAGCTTCACATCTCCATCTCCACCTAATCAAAAGCAGATGTTTGGTTTGTGATACCAATATATTAGATGAAACTCAAATACTTTGGCCACCTAATGAGAAGGAAGGACTCACTGGAGAAGAGCCTAATGCTGGGAAAGACTGAAAGCAAAAGAAGAAGGGGATGACAGAGAATAAGGGGGCTGGATGGAGTCACCGAAGCAGTCGGCATGAGCTTAAATGGACTCCAGAGAATGGTAGAGGACAGGAAGGCCTGGAAGAATCCATGGGGTCATGATGTGTCGGACACAACTTCACAACTAACAACAACCAGTACATTACAAGTTGTGCTGACTAGCTTCCAAAAAATATAGGGGCAAAGTTGAATCTCAAAGCATTGCCTATGTATGAAGTAGAGAACCATAGGCTTAGAGAAAGTGAAGTCAATTTAAAAAAGGCAGAAGAAGGGGAAAATAGCAATCAAAATGTACATTTTCCTCTTTTAGTCTTTCTATTCTTTCCCTTTCTTTCCATCTTTTTTGAGATACGTCTTTTAGAATTATAAAAAAGAGTTTTGAAGATGAATGAGAAAAGAAACAGCAGCAGCAGCAACAACAAAGCAACATAATTCCAAAGCATCTGGAATACCACTTGAACACCACTTCCATTGACAAAATCACCACAAATCATTTGCAAATGGCAGCTTTACTTGGAACAGTTTACATCCTACAATAATACCTTTGATACCATCAAACAGCAATACCTGTCTATTCTAGGTCCTTGACAAATCCTGTCTAAACATTTGTCAATCCACACATAAACACATTTTTTTAAAAAAATAAAAATAATTACTACTGTTATGACATGTTTTAAAATGATACATTTTACATACATATACCCTCCGGGATTGGGCGGCCTAGAAATTTAACAAATAAATAAATAAATAAATTTTATACTATATATTATATGCTTTTATCACTGGACGGAATATGAAGCTATCATGATTAATTAGTAACCATTAGGATATTTCAGGTATCACAAAGGAAGGTTGTGTTCTGGATCTACACATCTAAGTTGTTATTCATTTATTTTTATTAATTTATTCATTTATTCGTCAAATTTATGGACCACCGATCATACTCTTAGTGGGCAGTACCCAATATAAAACTTAAAAACTGTATAAAAATACTATATTTCAATAAAAGGAGGCAAGTTCCATTGGGAGACTTAGTTTGTGGTTACTATGATGTCTTAGACAAGCAAGACAGTACAAGCAAAAAAAAAGTTTAAAAAATTTAAAACTAAAAACAAATATTAAAGAAAGAGACAATTTTCTAAACACGTATGTATGTATTCTGTCCTGACATTAGAGAATCTCGATGGAGGCCTTTACTATAATCTAATACCCTGTATATAAGTATATCCTAATTGTAGCACTATCATTAAAGTATGTTACAGAATAGTGGGGAATTCACACAGAATTTTCAAAACCTGTATGTTCCATCACTTTGAGCTTACAAAAGAGTAGCAATCACTCAATCTCCATCAAACCCTTAAGTCATGAAATTAGAGTAAATATCCTTTATCACTGAATCCATTGCATAACAGTGTTATACATTCAATGACCCAGGCACCTCTACAAGTTTTTCACTGAAGTACAAATAAAAGAAAACATGATTAACAAAAATTGGCTTCTGCTACAAAATCAATAATAATAAAAGCTTTTAATTAACTCCAGTTTCAACAGACAAGGTGTTTTTACCAGAGCATCTTAGAAAAAAAAAATGTAAGAGACATTCTTAAGCATTGCATCCCCTTTGCAGAAAATTCTCTTAAATTTATGTAACTATGTCAATTTGCATCACTGTGTAATTATATAATTGCATGAATCACCCATTTAGACTATTTGTATCATGAGGTCACAAATCATGAAAATCACTGTAAATATCCTGATTTGTTTCATCTGTAATGATGTCATGACAAAAAAGAACATATATCAGTGCAAAAGACTTTTGGATTTAATGGACGTTCAGAAGCAATGGACACCTCCCTCCTACCCTGCGGGTCCATTAAATCAAGGTTTTGTTTTTCTGCTGTAATCTCCTGGCCATCAGTTTAAAAGTTTAAAAAAAAACAGAAGGAGAAAAAAGAAAGCTTTTGTCAAGACCTTTCAAATGTAATTTTGATAGAGTGTCCTGGTTCTGCTTCAATCACCCACTCACAATTCAAGGAGTCTTTATAATAGCCAGGCCAGCCTGGGGAAAGGATGACTCCACTGGGGGCTGCAAAATGTCCACCACATGGAGCTATAAAGAAGAAAACAGCACATTGTTATTATCAGGGTAGAACAGTCATCATGCTCAGATTTCTGAAATAAAAGGAAATCAGTAGAAAGGAAGGCTGGAAAGAAGGAACTAGCTTATCTTCAGAACTTGTGCCATTGCCATTTGTATGTGTGTCATGATGTCTTATTTGAAGTGATTATGCTTTCATCAACATGCCCATCCAGTGGTGGGGTTCAGCCAATTCGCACCACTTCGGGAGAACCTGTTGTTAAGTTTCTGAGCAGTTTGGTGAACTGGTTGTTGGAAGAAAACATTAGGGCAGAGAACCGGTTGTTAAATTATTTGAATCCAACCACTGTGTGATTCAAATAATTTAAGAGCAAAAATATTTTGTTCTTAAAAAATTATCTCAATTTGTCAAAACAAAACAAAATATGTAAATAAAATATTTTAAATGCTAAAATGTGCTTCATTTGTACAGTACATTTTACATGTTCCAACCTCTTCTCATACATCTTCCTTCACAAAATTGATTGTTTTCACATATACACAGCATACCCTCATACCTGTCTGAAATGAAACTGAAAATAATTCATACTTTACAGCAATGGACTTTATCATTCTATCTGGAGCCCTATTTAGTTTCATGAAGCCTGAACATGGATTCTCCCTCTCCTATCACTCCCACTCACACACAGCAAAGAACAGCTAATTTATGTGAGTGACTCAACAGCAGGTTCTTGTGAAAAAAATGATAGATGAATGGATTCTGAAATGGCAACAGCTCCTTTATGTATTTATAATATTACTATTATACTTACTATAATATAAAAATCAGTACAGAAATCTACTTCAGTAAAATAAAACATGTGCTTGGATTTCTTCTTATAGGGAAATATATTTTCATGAACTAATATCTATGGAGATTCTCAATCATCCAAATCATGGTTGTCCCAAAGACGCTTTTCCAAAAGGCAACTGGCCTTTTTTTTTTCTTTGAAAACCGAAGAAGCTTCTTGGATGAGAAGCAAAACATTTTAAAAGAAGGAAGAGAAATACAGTCCTCTTTTGGAAAAGCACATTTGGGACATTTTTATGAACAGGCTGGGCAAGGTAGTTTGTTGTCAGTGTGCCTGAAAGAACATACAATTTAGATTTTTTTTTTTAAAAAATGACTTGCCATTTTTTTGGCTGTGTGAACATATCTCTGCATGTAAAAATGTAAGACCATAATTGTCTGCTGTATTTTGTTCTTCACATTGATCAATGATGGGTCAGGGTAGCAATGTACTATTTAGACTCCCCATAATTGGCCTTGAGTGCCAAACTGACTTCAATATTGAAGAGTATGAAATAGATTAATGTTTGAACAATGTTGCATTAAGGATTAGTTGGTGTCTCCTCAATTACTCCCATTCATCTTTATTAAGTGATGTTATGAACTCTGAAGGCAACAAGCGCCTGATAGATTGTAACCTATAATTGAGGAGTCAATAATTTGTTAGTGTTAGAATATTCATGACTGGCAGAGACATGGTAACAAGGTCAGCCTATGAATAGGCATAGCAACTAAGCCAGCCAATGGGAGCTTAAACAGATCTGAGTCTGTGTTGAGAATAAAACTAAAACTACTCTATCTGCTCTGAACTCCGAAATGAAACTAACTGTTCTCTCCTGCTTGTGTTCTGCTTATAACTTCTACCACATTGAAAGAATCTGCTATTTGTATTGTACATTTA